ATTGGACCTAAAATTGATTGCAGTTGTATGCCGCAAGGCTTTCAAGTACAGATATATGTTGTGTTGAAATTTCCTTTAGAGCATTTAAGCTGCTGTTGCAGTTGAGTGACAAATGCAAACATTGGCAATTTTCTAAAATTGAAGTTAAATAGTGGAAATGCAGGTGAATCATTTTTTGTCTGGTAGGTGCTGCATCATCCACTGCTTCCAGTTATTCTGAACACCTATAATTTTCCCAATTATTGGCAAGCAAGGTTTCACACAGCCAAGTGCAGGGGGCATGGTGCTTAGTCAGATTATCTTTTAATGCAGTACTTATGTGAATAACTAATGCTTTGGAACTGGAACTGTACCTTTTGTTTTTAAAGTTAAAGCACCTGTAAGTAAAAACTACCCTATTTGCTTTATTAAAGATATACCTTTAATAATAGATTATATCTTGTTAAAATAAGATATATCCAAAAGATAACAAGTACAATTATGTTGAAAGTTATTCTCCTGCTGTAGCTGGAGAGAATCGTTAGCTGGGCTCCTCCTCATTCTGGCAGACAGGAACAATTTTGGAGTACACAAGGTGGAAGTAAGACTTCCTCCTGCTGGGAGTTGGGAGGCAGCCCCTACTGCATGGATTCTACGGTATACCTGCCGCCTCCATTATCTACGGCAAGAGCTTCCCACTAATCGGTCTCCAGCCTTTCCATTATTGTTAAATATTTTGGTGTTATGGATTGTGGTGCCCTTTAAAAAGCTTGTAGATCCTGTAACTATCTTGAATACTTCAGGAGACATCTCCGATAGATGGCTCTATAATTTGGAGGGCTGGCCTTCCAGCAGCTACCTATCCAGGAGGCCCAGTCACCTCATCTGCCAGGTAGCATTCTCTTCTCACATCCTGGGGGTCCTCCTTGGAAAGCCCAGGGCAGATTCCTTAGGAGTCATGGTATCATCCTTGATCCCTTTGCCCCTGACATGGACCAAAGGGGGAATGGGGTGTGGTTTTTTTTTAAGAAAAAGAACATTGAACGCCCAGAGAAGAGGGGCCCCTATGGCTGACCCTCTCCCTGGTGGATTTCTGAATCTAGGTAGGTGGGAGGGGAGAGGAGGCTGTCAAAGGAGCAGGTTCCCATGAAGCTTTTATTCCAATCCAGTTTCTCATAGCTGAGCAGAATTTGTTTTATAAAATTCTCCTTTCTGAAGGAATCCAATCCTAGCCATCCACTAATCCATTATTGAATATGGTAACTGAAGCCTTCCCAGTAGGAAGCAGCCCATTCCATGCCCCTTCGTGGAAAGCAAACTACCAATCAAAGCAGCAGCAGTCCAGATCCCAAATAACAAAGACTTCTCAAGATCTTTTTTTCCCTGTTTGCCTAAATGACCCACAGCATCATAGATACCTGAGTGCTTTGCTGTTTTCCATAGCCATATTATAGAATCCAAGGCCCTGTATCACAATGGATTTATAACTCTGCCCTGGTGATAATAGGAAGAAAAATACTTCCAGGGGCTCCAAATCATTGGTCACATTCTTGCCACCAAGGCCATAAAGGCAGTTCCACTGGCAAGAGTCTTAATTTATTACATGGTTTGTTTTCCATAGTACCTCAAAACAAGGTGGATTGGAGTGGCGTAGATTTCATAAAAATAAGTCAGTATGCGAGTCCTCCCTATTTCTTATGGACATAAAAAATCCCTTTCCGGTTGCCTTCGGCCTAGAAAGTATTAAGCTTCTTGGGAAAATTTACATACATTCTTTGCCTATTCCACGTTCTTGAGATATGAATATCAGGGATGCCTCTCCCCATGGACCCTCCTCCTTTTGGGGCTGGCATTGACTTCCAGAATGTATAGAGACACCAATCTACCCAATTCCAGTTGACCTCATTAAAAAGCCATGCTTCCTACTTTAAAAAAAGACAAACATAACATCCAGAATCCAATACTTCTTACCTTGGCATCACTCAAATATATGTACCTAACAATGTGCAAGCTACTGGAAACAATTTCAGGTAGGTACCTGGTTCTCCCAGATAACAGAAATTATAGGAGTTATCAGGTTAGAATTGCATGTCAATTAAACTGAATAATCTTGGTTTATGTCCAGGGCCTCATCATGCATGGCTTGAGTTCACTCATACCCTGTTTGGGCAGGGGGTTGGACTTGAAAACCCCCAGGGTCCCTTCCAATATAATAACCTTTTTACAATGAGTGCTGTTTTCCTTTCAGAAAGCAATAATAGTGGGAAAACATGCTATGATTTCACTGAGCCTTACACATGGAAGAGTCCTTTGAATAGTGGATATTTAAGGCTGTAGACAGGAAATCCCACCTTGGAAGTATCCCCATTCATTCTAATCACCACCAAAGTTAGTCTTCTGAATTGGGGGATCCGTAACCATGGCTACATAGTCAGTGGGCCACACAAGGCTTGAGCATACCATAAAATCTTAGTGGGCTGGAAAACCAAATCTGTAGAAATCTGCGTTACCTTGAAATACATTTACTACCTTGACAAGGTCGTCTGATTTTTGCAGAAATGAACACATATGATACGTGAAAGCAGAACCAAGTCCTAACCTGTCGCAAGAGAAGCTCTAAGAAATTAGGAAGAAGTGGGATTTCAGTTTCTGTTCTTCTCGACAGAACACATCTAGGGCTCCTTCAGTTCCAAAGGCAGATTTGGTTTAGCTGGTCTGATGTGGAACTGGTAGAATGTGGAACAGGGATGTCAAACTCACGGCATCACGTGACATATCCCAACCTTTTTTCCCCTTTGCTAAACTGGGGGTGGCCAGTGTGTGACGACGTGTCTGGCCTGCAGGCCATGGGATTGACAGCCCTGATGTAGAAGAATGTAGGTTCTCCTGTTGAATAGGGGGCTGGACTGGAAGACCTCCAAGGTCGCTTCCAGTTCCTATCCTATCCACAAGTTTTTCAAGAGATCACCACGTGGTTCAGAGTAGATCTCTTTCCACTATAAGCGAACTGCTGCCTGAATAACAGTCTCTTCATGGCAGTAGCCATAGATTCTCTGAACATAAGATGTTCCCAGAGGGTCTTCTGTGTCTAGCCTCCATTCACTCTGCTAACCCAGATGCTGCATTTGATTCATCTGAAGACCACACCTGGTTAAGGAAAGCCTGATGTCCAAAATGATGCAACTGTCCAAACATCCGACTTTTCACACTGAATGCCCTTAGCCAGTGAAGCCAGCTGCCCTTCTGGGGTCCACTGCTTGCCCTTGAAAGGATGCTCTGCCCACGTATTTGAATCTGTCTTAATAGCAAGTAAACTTCCTCCAGCAAGGTGAGCTTCCTGGGCTGGTTGGACAGGCCTTTGTGAACCCATTCAGGATTCCCCACTCATACTCAAGGCAACTCCACTTTCTGTAAGGTCTATGCTGGCTGTGCTTCTGTTGACATCTAGAGCAGCAGTGACACAAACGGTGTGGCCTTTAAAGCCCATCCTACTCTCTGTGGCAGTTCCCACCTGAGTTCGATACCTGTGTGGTGTTCAGGCCTTGTCTGCAGGTGTCCCACCAAAAGCAACACAAGACCAGGCCTTTTCCATTAGTGCTTCTCTGAGCCACATATCCAAAGCAGGAAGATAATCCTTCTACATATATATTAAAGTCCTTGGAGTCTGAAGAAGACATGCCGTCAATCAATTCACCTGTGGATATGGAAGTGGCTCTGCAGCCCCGCTTAAACTCCAGGGTGTAGCACAGTGGGGCACTGGAAGTTCATTGTTTTAGCAACTGTAGGTGTTATTCTGTGATGCCACTATTAATTAGGGGAGGCTCCATAGCACAGGGCTTGCTATGGTTCGTCAGCAAGCTGATTTCTACTTCCCGTTGCTTAATATGAGGCCTCTCCTTCAGTAGGAAAGTCCTGCATCCAGCCTGTTCAGCAAATAGCTCCCCCACCTTTGCAATCCCTCCAAAGTTCTACCCAAAACTTCATTCCAATCAC